AAAGGAAGGAGGAAAAAAAATGAAACATAAAACGGGACCACCAGAACTCCCTGTTTCACTTCTGTTTGACCCTCTCAGATTGTTCAGTGCCATATACCTCCATCTTCTCCATTCACACCTTTTACTTTTCTATGGTAACACTTTACAATATCCTACTGCAGTGTGTACATCTGTGTTTTAACCTGTGGGCAACTGCTTCAAGTATTCACTAATACTGCTCAAGTAATAAAACTGCTGCCAGTGGAAATTGCGTATTAATTAGAAAGGTGTAATGGCACAATGTCAGTATGAACATTATCTATTTTTGACACTTTGCACTCACATTGTGTTTTTACACTGCCATACAGGGAGGTTTGCCATCTGTACACTGTGTTAAGTATTGAAAATCTTTTCCATGGACCACTTACATGAAAGTAATACCGCGTTTAGGCCACTGTAAAGAAAATCTTTACCTTAATCATTGTGCAGTGTTAAAACCTTCACATTCCTACACCTTTTAGCTGTGATCCTCCCTTTTATCTATGTAGGACACGTGCGTCCTTACATGTTTTGATTCTAAGTCATTCCAAAAACGTTAGTATTCATTAAGGTGTGTGTGCGTGTGCGTCTGTGTGTGTGTGTGTGTGTGCGCCATCATCTAGCTTTCTGCCGGGTCTTAGAAAACCGAATTTTTAAGGTGGAATTTAAGTGCTCAGATGAATTTTAAAAAATACATTCCACGGGTATATATTATGTGTAATTATTTAGAAAGACAGCACAAACCAAATCATATAGTAAAGTCTTTATGAAATTAGGAATATATTAGAATATATTATGGCAGTATATAAAACTTATTATTGTTCAAATCTAGGATTATTTATTTATCATGATGACCGTTTGTCAAGTGGAGAATGATCATTTTGTGTGTTTGCCCTGACCTGTTGTTCTCTTTTTGCTCTTTTTCATCCCACAGATACCAAATGTTGTATTCCGAGTGTGTCTCACATATGACTCTCCCACAGTTTACATATCAAAGTCCCTTCCAGTTCCATGTCACAGTTCTGGTGCATTGCTAGTAAAGTCAGGTTAAAAAAAACAAAACAAAGCATCTGAGAGCTTTGGACTGAACAAAATGCATTTTTTTCCTGTGATCAAGTGTTCAAAAATGAGTTTTAGAATAACCCAGTCTTGTTTTCTATTTAGATGTTATGATTAGATCAGTGCTTGCAGATGTTGTCATGTAATAATCCAGGTGTCTGGAGAGATTAATATTGTTATCTACAGCTCAAAAAGAAAAAAAAGATTCTAAGCACTGGTTTGCTTAAAGCATGTCACCTGGGTTTTTAATACAATGTGATGCCAATGGACATGTATCCTACATGAGAAAAAAAAGTAGCAAGTCAAACAGTAACTTCTCATTAAAACGAATGCAATGCTCAATATTTAGCAATACTGTGTATAAAGCAGAACTTCACCGGTGATATTGGGGTGAATCAGCAAAGGCGGACCCATCACTGAAGCAATGACAGGCCAGCTGTATTTTTACAACAGCACCTTTTCAGTCCATCCTCATGGTACAAACGCTGCTCTGCGCTGATTTGATTACGTTACACATCAAGAGGAAAAAATAAATAAAAAAAATATATATATTTGCCTGTCAAAGAGGCATCCACAGTGGCAGATTTTGTTGCTTTCCCGATATCCAAATGGCAGCTCCCGCACTTCTGTTCAACTTTGTCTTACAGATGTGAGAAAGATGTCCAATTTAAGCAGATGGATGTCTCATGCTGAGATAGCAAGGCATAAAAGCCTGCAAGCATTTGCATAATCCTTGGACTAAGCCTTAAGACAGCACTGGTGAAAGCAGGATGAGATTGTGAGGTATGAAGGAATATGTACAGTTTGCAATGCAAAGTTTAGTTTTTATTAACTATCCATTATAATCCAACGCAAGGTATTAGTTTCTAACTTTGGACTGAGATTTACTGATTCTTCTTCTTATGTGACAGTACTGTTGTTGTTCCTTGATATCCTCACTGTACTGATCATTTTGGAATAGCAGCAAACTTCTCTCAGAGGACTTGATATTGGATTTGGGAGGAAAGATACTACTCAGTTTGTGAAACCTTGACTTCCCCTTCCTCCTAATTGGATTTGTTTGAAATTGCGTACTGTGATGTTTTGTTTAGGTTAACCACCCCTCTTTTCTGATTTCATATAGCCTACTTTTTCTAATCATGAATGTATGATGTGTGGATTTTTATATAGCATACTAATTTAGGTGTCAAACAGAATCTGTAATTTTGTCAAAAAGATCAGCTATATTTGTAAGCTGTAAGATGTAAAATGAGAAAAAATGGTTATCAAAACAGAATGTGTTGGTTTACTATAGTGTGTGTGTGTGTGTGTGTGT